TTCATAAGTTATGTATATGGGTGTCCACCGCCGGATCCTTGCAATTTGTTTTTTGTCATCATCTACAAATAGTAGTTTAAATGCAATTTCCTATTTAACAACTAATGGTTCCTTAGGGAAGTTAAGAATATTCAACAAACCACAATTTTCAAGATTCGTACAAGTTGGCTGATGTATGTATGTTCATTTAAAAGGGTACTGACACCTTTCTCTTTTTTTGGGGGGCAAGTTTACTTTGCCATACAAATCTCCTGTATACAGAGATGGCTCTGAGCAAGTGTGATGCTCAGCAAGTGCTCATAAAATCTTTTATTTTGATATTAAAGTCAAATATCTCGTGGCACACCTACCGACATCTACCTTAACTTGACTTCAGGCTACAGTACTAATCCTGGTGACTTCACGCGTCAGACCCGAGACAATGGTCTAGTGGCTAAGGCACTTGGCTGCTGACCCACAGGTCGTGGCGGCTGCGTTCCGATGGAGGCGAAAATGCTCGAGGCCCGTGTGCTTGGTTTAGGTGCATGTTAAAGAACCCTATGTGATCGAAATTTCCGGAGCCCTTTTTTTACAGCGGTCCTCATAATCACATGGTGGTTTGGTGAAGTTAAACCCCAAAAATAATATTATTATTCACACAGCGGTCTGGCTAATTGTGAAGACATGAAGCACTAAAACACCAAAAATGGCAGCTTGCGCATCGCCTTCTCGATTGTCTGCACATGCCGTGCGGTCACTGTCATCTACTGTACCTGTGAAACAAGCTAGAGGAGTCTGGAATTGTGTACATGCACAATTCTAGAGCAAAATAATCATTCGATTTTGAGTTTGTTGTCATAGCACTAGTGAAACGGGGGACAATAGGTGTAAGTTCCACAGATTCCTGTCAGATCTGGCACTGAGACAAGCGTGGGTCGACTTCATGCACCATTTCCGAGACAAAGACGGGACGCTAACCAAGTTCTTTGCACTTCAGTCTCCGGACGCATACTCGCTCAACATGCAGTTGCTGATCGATTTTGGAATGCCGACAAAACACCTGTGACTTGAAAGTGATTCCATCCCAACATTGTGCCCCCCCCCCCCCCCTGCCATGACAACGGCCACACTTATGGCGCGCAGCAGGCGAAGTAGACAATCAAAGAAGTGACACACGGATGAGGATATGTCATGAGAACTTACGCGGGCCCATTCTACCGCCTGGTAGCGCTACTTATACCATGTTGCGACGTCAGGGTACGGTAGAAACCAGAGCTAGCTTTTAAAAGCATTCTGTAATTTATTTTTCAGAGTACACTTGCACTTACATTTTCCTATGCTCTTGGGGCTTGGCCTCTCATTTGACACAATAAAATGATAAGTGAGAAATTGTGTTAGTACCCCTGGTGCAATTATAGTCAACGTTATCAAAGTATTCTGTAATGCTAACATTTTGAAGCTAGAGTTTGCTGAAGGTAGAGCTAGTTGTTATTTGACTTGTATGTTAGCAGAGTGCTTCAATGCTTTTTTGGTCATTAAACTCCTCCGTATTGCTATGAGGGGAGCTTGCTATATGCCACAATAGCCGCATGGCAGCACCAGAAGCGCGCAGGGGGCATTGAGGAGAGCTTCGCTAGAAAGCTGGAGACTCTGCATCGGCATTCCGCCTTCCATATCTTTCTAAGTTTGTGCCACTGAAGGCTGTCGCGTGTGTTGCATGTGAGCGATGATGCCCAAGACTTGCTGTGTGCCGGGTCGGCGCTCCGGCTACAGAGGTGCGTGTGAAAAGGTGTTTCAGTTTCGCTGGGGACAGTGATGAAAAGGACAAATGGAAACGTGCAATACCGCGACAGGCAGCTGGTGGGATTCTGAAAATGTTAGTGTGTGCAAGAAAGAATTCGACACCACCAACGTTATTCGAACTGACTTCGTAGTGAAGAAAGAAAAGTGTGCCTTTGTAACACAGGAAGGAGAGTTATTGGCCAAATCTTTGTCTTTCATAGTTTGCTATGTTTTTTTATGTTCCTGCTAGTTTATTAGGTGCTTGGCATTCTTTTATTGTTTGCTGTTGTTCAAATAGATTTTCTTTCTATTCCTGCTTTGTTTGCTGTAAATTAGTGGCTCGACAGTGTGAAATGATTAAACATACGCATTGAAATAAGCAATTATGAAAAAGTGTGGACTCTGTAAGAGTAAGTGCTTCCTTGGCTTGGCACGTTTTTTGTTTGTTCTGCCCATGTGTTGTGTTCTTCATGTTTTGAATAAATCAAAAGCACTATAGAGCTTTGTTTGTGAACACTGTGCTTGTTTTCTCTAGATTAGAGAAATGCCACTTCGTCTCATTTAATCAAGTCTACCCTGTGAGCGGTCTTCATCAAGTAATTCGTCGCATCACCATGGTGCAAACGTAGTTCATCTAAGCAGTCAAAGTAACACGCGTTGCGGATTTGTTGAGGTGCCACCATGCCAGAGTGCCCTTGCTATGCTGCACGATGTAAAGTGCGACACACATTGCGATAGGTGCCATATTGTCCACATAGTAGTTGTCAGCTTACTTGTCGGATGTGGTTGCAAGACCCTTTAGAGAATAGCATTGGACGCTGCACATGGATGTTACCTTGCTAAAGCTTCGTCATTCCCGATTTCAAGTGTAACAAAATATATGTGTGTTAGGCTGCAGTGAAGTGAGCTGAGCTTTTATAAACTTTAAACACAAGAATGTAGAGCTTTTATTTGTTATAATGTGGTCATGTACCGTACCGTATAAGTAGTCTGGTTGTAAATAGCACGGTAAGCACTGGCTCAACTCTCGCTGTGAAACTTCGTTTTGCGAGCTGGCGAGTTTACAAGGCTTATGCAGTGTTAGAAGTCTCGGTAAATATCGCGTCTGAATAAATTCTCTCGTGCTGTACTGCCTAAGGTAAGGAACCGTGCTGGAACAACATAATCAGAGAATATTGCAGAGTCCAACACGACTGAACCCATTGCAGCCTTGATGTCTTTTAAAAACACGCAAAAGTAAGTTCTTCACTCGTATATGTCACAGCCACATTGCATATCAGGTGTAGTTGAATTACTGCGGTTCGGTGCAAGAGAAACCATTGCCTGGAACCGGCTCAACATTCAGCCGAGAGCAGCATGCACTCACGGACGTCCCCCCGTTGACGGCGGCAACACTAGTGGCAGCTTCTGTATCTGTATTAATCTACGGGCGGAGTTTCATGACCAGAAAAGCATTGAAGGACTCTGATGTGAGTTGAGGGCCTCAAAGGATGATTATGGCTGTTTGGTGCCTAAAAGTAATGCAAGCTCTCAGACTATTTCAGTCAGGTTTTTTAGGGCTACTTTATTGTGGGGGCCCAATTCTGTGGTCTGCTGTAGCAGACATATACACACAAGCCTCGATATAACAAACTGCGATATAATGAAATATACATTATAACGAAGTAAATGATAAATAGTTTTGCAATAGACACAGTGATGGGAATGAAAATTTAACAAAATTTCAGATATAACCAACTTATGTTTGGGAAACATCCAACTTTGTTTTAATGAGGTTTGAATTAACGGTGATCTGCATGCCCGAGTGTTAAGCTTGTTGCAACTTGCTACATGGAGTTCATTACATGAAGCTTCGTTGTTGGTGTCTTGACAAGTTGAATATAATTAAGAAATGTGTGTAGACTACTACATTATCATACAAGCACTACAAACAAGTAAGACTTCAATCATAGTTATATATAAAATATTACATCAGCGTATAACTGAGCACTAAGTTAATGCTTGATTCTGGGGTTGTTTGAGGTGAACTACAACACAACGTTAATGTTTTACCTATCCAAGCAAGAAAAATAATGTTGGCTAGTTAAAGTTCAATGATTAATTGGACCTTAATTATGAGAGAAGTACTAGTTTTATGTATAATTGACTACCATTAATATATACAACAGGCAGAACTTTTCTAGAGCACGTCTTTTTTATATATATCTTGGTTCAAGTTAGCTGGTACAACTGGTATACATAAGCATTTAACACCCCCCCCCCCCCCCCCAAGAAACATAAAACCTTTTTCCATTTGCTGCTGTAGCACTTCAGCTCCACACCACCAGGTGGAAAAGCCAGGCCACTGGGTGTTCATATTTTCTCTTCCAGTAACCCAATGGGCTACGGGAAGGCTGGTGTGGAATAGTGTCATTTTATGCTAGTCTCTCTGTTGTAGAAAAAGCTTTTTCAGTTGAGACGCATGCCAGGGGACCTGGCTGTGCCCCTGTCACAAGCATCTTGTCTTGAGAGCACCCGATGGCTGATATGTTGGCCACTCTTAGACATTGAAAACGTGCCCACTTTGCAGCAATTTGTCAATATTTTGAACCAGAAAGTCAAACATGGACTTGTGCAGGCTGACACATGCGAACATGTACAGTATACTGAGGAGGACTGCACAACAAATTTGTAGAGTAAAGCAGTAGTTATAATGCTCATTGGTGAGAGCACCCGATGGCTGATATGTTGGCCACTCTTAGACATTGAAAACGTGCCCACTTTGCAGCAATTTGTCAATATTTTGAACCAGAAAGTCAAACATGGACTTGTGCAGGCTGACACATGCGAACATGTACAGTATACTGAGGAGGACTGCACAACAAATTTGTAGAGTAAAGCAGTAGTTATAATGCTCATTGGTGGAAATGTGACATCAATACTTTAATCGGCCACTAAAGGTAATGTTGGATTCGGTGAAGGTGTGAAGTTGAAGTTATGCCAATACTGCGCAAATTGCAGATGGCAGAAGCTATAGGGTAGAAAATATATCATTCATCATACAATTTCATCATTTTAGTGAGAACCGTTCATTCTGCAAGCTCATGTTGCTACTTTGCACTTGATTATGCAATGAACAATGGTGACGTTGCTTAAGTGATATGTTTAATTACTGGTAACATTTATAATTGCTTTGTTGATACATTCCTATCCTCTGTTTTTCTGCTGTGTTAATTTCAGTATTTGTTCATGCTCTGCAGGGCATAAGCGTGTGCGCATGTTTGGGATGATGAAGTACTTGAAGAACCACATCAAGGACATCAAGTAATTGGGCCATCAAGGAAGCTCAGTGTGCCTCATCTGGTATACAATCTTGCTTCCCTGTTTCCCATGCTTCAACCCATCTTCCATTTTTTGTGGACACTCCATGGGGGGCGGGGGAGAAACCAGGGTGTTCACTGAATGAATTGCCGGGCATAAACTCACCCAACCCACTGAGTGGCCTTGAGAGCTGCCGCAAAGAACGGACGCATTTTTTCAATGTACGCACACGTGACGTACAGACGTGCAGCACGCATCTTCCAAGTCATCATTACAGTCTTGTTAATATTATTCACCTCCCATAATCACTTCAAGTTATAGCATTTTTGCAAACTCTGGCAGCGGCATTTTCCGAACGACGTAATGAAATTCTTGAACGACGTAATTATTTTTTTGAGGTTATTCATGTTTTACTTTTATATCATTTTACTCCTGCAATTTTTCTCAACCTGCAAACATTGCTGCTTGACAAAAATGTAGAGCAGGAACATATTGTGCAGCCATTCTAATGGAATTGAATTTGTGGCTGTAGATAATGCTCCAATGTTAGTGCTACGTCTGCATGTTTGTGCTGGGATTTTGTGTGCAAGTATTTCAAAGTGTGCTTTTCAAGAGTGTTTTGCTTTGTCTGAGTGCTTAATATTGTAGATTTTTTTTTAGAGCTCCAACGTTTGTGATCCAACATAGTTGCTTTGTAATAGCACTTAAGTCCAATTAATTTGTTTCTCAGAAAGTTATTATGGCCGTTAAAAATCTGGATGAAATGCTGTTACCGTCAACTGTTCTCGGAGAACAGAAGTGTGTGTACTTTTTTGTTGGAGCATAATAAAGTACGCCCTGTGAATGGTGCTGCTTTTCCGTGTTTTTGCTTATTTGTCCGACAAACGCGCCCCGCCGCGGTGGTCTAGTGGCTAAGGTACTCGGCTGCTGACCCGCAGGGCGCGGGTTCGAATCCCGGCTGCGGCGGCTGCATTTCCGATGGAGGCGGAAATGTTGTAGGCCCGTGTGCTCAGATTTGGGTGCACGTTAAAGAACGCCAGGTGGTCTAAATTTCCGGAGCCCTCCACTACGGCGTCTCTCATAATCATATAGTGGTTTTGGGACGTTAAACCCCACATATTAATCAATCAATCAATCAATTGTCCGACAAACGCAACCTTTTATGGGACAAGTGAATTTTTATTTGAAGATTCATTAGCTGAAGGATCACACTTCAGATGCCTATTGCTAGAAGCTGGCAATGCAGTAAGACATGAAATGGGTGCCCATACCTATGAAAATTCGTGAAAATGGAGTTAATGGCGGGTTTGTGCTTCTGTATCAGGCTTTGCACCATGACATAAGCTTGCTGCTGCTTTAGGAGTACCGGCAAATACATTAAAAATATTGGAATACCAAGTTAACTATGACATTCTTTAGTGGCTTTATGGTGTTGGCCGCCTGGCATAATGTCGCAGGCCTGAATCCAGACACTGAGCAGATGAGAGCAGTGCTCTCTTGTACATTTACTCTCTTTCTACTGCTGTTGCACTATTACTTCAATGCAACCATGATGAACGAACTCGCCCAAATTGAGCTCTTAGAGAAACAAGCTTATGCTCTCATCTTCAGCTAGCCTCCCTAGATACAAAGTTGGATTAATTCTGGTATTTCCTGAAAAAGTAAAACAGAAATATGGGTACATTTTACATTTAAAAATACCGAATAAAATGCTACTTTACTGTGAAGTTGGAGCTTGAAGAGTGCAGCAATAAGTGCAAAATCTTCTCCTTAGGTGCTGAGCTAAATAAGCTGATTCATCGTAGAATGATGTTGGCATGCAACAAAGACGAAAATAGACAAACAGCATTTGCTTCTTTCATCTTGGTGGGTTCTGTGTGCACTGAAAGCATTCCATAATGAATTCCTACCAACTCGTCCAGTTTTTGTTGCTTTTAAGATATTCTTATATTCTATTGGTAAAAATCATCTACAAACTTTTTTTCACCAGATCCAAATGTTGACGAGTCATTGCTTTGTGAAGTACTACTAAAGATCTGACTTACTCACTTCAGTTTCAGGGTTCACCTTAATTAGTTTCTTTAGACAAAATTTGGCAGTGTGTATAATAAACAAGACAAATATCTGGAATGTAATAATTGTTGTAGGTTAAAAATTGAGGTATATACAGTGCCTAATTGATAAATATGATGCTTACTTCAGTTTCTTGTGGCCCTATCTGAACTTTCTCCACAGGTGTGGTGGTTGACTATTTGCAGCATAGCTACAGAGTGTATTTAATGTCCTCTATCCACTATATTCCACTATCCACTATATATTCTAATGCGCCCTCCGATTGTAACGTGCAGGTTATCTTGCATTAGCATAACTGAATATATATATATAAATTTTATATATATATATATATATATATATATATATATATTATAATATATATTGTAAGACAGTAGCAGCGTTGGGGTCGCGACCGTGTTTATTAGGCCAAATCGCCTGATCAACGCTTCGAACGAAGACGCTTTTCGTGAGATGATTATATACAGATCAAGAAGATGATGGTCAAACGCTGTGAATATTGTGCTTACACTAATTTCCAGGTGTAGGCATTGCCTCTGATTCGCTTGACTGGTCCTTTTCAGTGGGACTGCCTGATTTTACTCCAGTTTTTGAAGCGGAGCTCGTGGCGATAATTTTAGCTCTTCGAAAACTTCCATCAAATCAAAACAACGCACTCATAATGACAGATTCTCTTTCAGTTTGTGCAGCTCTGACAGCTTCAAGAACTCTCGAATTCTAAGCACATTCAAAACATTAGTACCCCCACAGTTGAGACTCCTGAGGTTACTATTGGTTCCGGGACACTGTGGATTAAGATTAAATGAATTGGCCGATTCCTTAGCACGAGCCGCACTTGATGGGCCAGTTTTGTCCATACTGCCAGATGTTGAATATATCACGGCAATAAGATATCGAAAATCAGCAATCTCCACTGATACGATAGAAAAAGTAACTACATGGACAGACTATAACCACCTCATGTTTCCATGGCAACCCCACTGGAGCCAGTCCAGTGGGGTTGCCATGTCTTAAATAATAAATTTCGATGTCGTGTCCCCCCCCTAAACCTGTATCTACACAGAGCTGGTCAGACATCACCCCTCTGCGCATTCTGCGGAGAAATGGAATCACTAGATCATTATTTTTTGTATTGTCGCCGCTACGATATACTTCGAAAAAGGTTACTAGTTATGCCATTTCTGAAAATAGGCGTTAGATTGACGGCGGAAACGGGGCTAAGCTTTGGTGCCTCAGTTTCGGGACATTGCCACAGGGATGCTTTCAATGCCGTTTGCGATTATATTATAGAGTGAAGTAAACGCAGCTGAGTGGTAATCATAACACTTCCAATCTCAAAATTGCTCCAACTTAATTTTTTTTTCGTTTGCTCTTTTTATGTTGTTTTTTTACATTAGTCTTATTATCATACCAATTCATTACACATAGTTAAAATGATCACAGAAAAACTGCACTACACTTTCTTGGCCAATCCCCCTGAGTGGGTATGAGCCATCATCCCAGGGAAACAAAACTGATTTCCCCCTCGCGCGGAAGCGGCCAACGTGGCCGCTGTTTATGACGGTGGTGTACGTCGCACGAATGCTTTTAAGTGCGACACGTGAACAACCTCTGTACGACGAAAACGGCCGTCGGAAGGCATGACAATGGCCGGGAGTTACTCGGTAGTTAACAGGAGACGTCTGCTCGACTATAGCGTAGGGGCCGACGAAACGTGAGTGAAACATCACACAGGCCGGGAACCCGCGTTGGGGTCCATAACCGTACTTTGTCTCCGGTATTGAAGTAAAATACGTGGTGGACGCCATCGTAGCGAGTCGTCCGCTCTTGTTGGCTTGCCTCTGTATTGAGGCGGGCGCGTCGGCGACAATCGGCCAGGCGAGAGATTAAGTGCTCACTCGATGACGATGACGAGTTCACTGGGACGTCAAAAAAAGGAGATGTCGAGCAGAGATGTTGGTTGACGGCCATAGACGAGAAAGAATGGGGAATACCCCGTGGTGCGCTGCGTAGCGGTATTGCACGCAAATGTCACGAATGGCAGGATGGTATCCCAGTTGGTCTGGTCGGCGTTGATATACATAGATATCATATCGGTCAAAGTTCGATGGAAGCGCTATGTGAGGCCGTTAGTCTGGGGATGGTAGCTGGAAGTCGTCTTATGAATTGTATTACGTGCGTGGAGGACGTGTTAGAGTAGTTTCGAGAGAAACGTCTTGCCGCAGTCGCTCAATAAGATGCGTGGCGCACCATGTCTCAGAAAGATTGCCTCCAGAAAAAAATGTGGCAATGTCCTCTGCCGATCCTGAAGGAAGTCGAGCTGTTTCGGTGTATCTTGTCAAGGAGTCAACTGCTGTGACAATCCAGCGCTTGTCGCTAGCTGATATTGGTAGCGGTCCGTAGAGGTCAATGCCGATGACATCAAAGGGAGCGTCAGGACACGGGAGAGGTTTTAGGATACCGGCCGGGAAGGAAGTGGGTCGCTTGCGGCGTTGGCAGAGGGAGCATGACGCAACATATCGCGCTACGCAGGTGGAAAGCCCAGGCCAGGCAAAACGACTGCGGATGCGTTCATGGGTTTTTTGATAACCGGGAAGACCAGCCTTGGGGTCATCGTGAAACGCCTCCAAAATCTGCGTCCTTAGGGAACGAGGAGCGACAGAAACCCAGCGCTGTACTTCGGGGTGGAAGACGAAAGGGTAAAGGATTGATTTTTCAGTTTTGAAGTTCCGCAGCTGTCGATGGGCGCGGGCGTTGGGAGGACGAGAGGAGCCTTGAAGGTGCTCCATTATAGAGCGACAGTAAGTGTCGCTGCGTTGGTGGGATGCAAACGTCTCGTTGCCGAAGGCAGAAAGAAAGTCGACAGTGGCGAGTGAATGAACTGACGAAGACGCTTTGATGGGTTCACTCACAGTTGGTGACAGGCCAGGAGTGCATGATGAGGACGGTAAAGGACAGCGGCTAAGGGCATCGGCATCAATGTGTTTTTTGCGGGATTTGTAGGTAACGTCGAACTCGTATTCTTTAAGGCGAAGTATCCAGCGAATTTTTGGCAGCAGTGGCACGACCAGCGAGCACACGCCTAAGATTTCGCTCCATATTTTTCAGCCGCAACAGGAGAAGACGCTGTGACTGAAAGCGCCGGGGATCCGGGCTGGCGCACTTCAGTACTCGTGTTGGCATCATTCTTTAATCGAAAAGAGAGGCACAACGAAAGATTGCGCTGTTGACGTCACCGGCTGCCACAGCGACGCTACTCGGACACGGCCAACGAATTTTCTACGAGGGGTGTGAACCATCATTTGGCAGCAGCGGCACGACCAGCGAGCACACGCCTAAGATTTCGCCCCATATTTTTCAGGTTGTTGAATATCTTTTTATGCCATTGTTCTGCTCTCCGCCGCTGCTGACAAGTGTTGGTGTGTAGTTCTAGTGTGAAACTGCAGTGACATGTCACAATTACGTTGTTGTTCATGTCGTCTTGGACCAGTAGACGGACGCTCGCTTCTGGCTTGTTCAGAATGTAAATTCGCATTCCACCTAGGTGCATGCTCAGGCGTTTCGGAAGAAGCGTGCAAAAAACGGGGGAAAAACATGGAGGTGCGATAAGTGCAAGACTGGCGGCCAGAAATCGGAGACTGATGCGGAAGGGGTGTCAACTGATAGCATAGTAGCGCAGCAACTCCACTCACTTGAACTTAAGATTGATGCACTCCTAGCTTTGCCCAGCAAGCTCCAATCAATGGAAACAGCTGTGCAGCTTCTGTCAAACAAATTTG